GCTTATTAGTCAGGTGCATCATCAACTGGGACACGCTGGCCAACAGAAAACTGAACACGCCATCCGTCAACGCTTCTGGTGGCCACTTATACACCATGATGTTATGGAGTTTTGCCGCAATTGCGCTATATGTGCGCAGATCAAACAGCCTAAGCCAACTCCCCGAGCACCCCTAGTACCTATGCTGACCGAAGCCCCTAATCATCGAGTTGGAGTCGACATCATTGGGCCAGTACCAACATCGAGACGCGGGAATCGTTATATACTTGTCATGGTCGACTATTTCACCAAGTGGTGCGAAGCAGTCCCCTTGCAGCAACAAGATGCCCTGACGATCGGGCGAGCTTTCATCGACAACTGGGTGTCCCGTTTTGGTGCCCCTCTTTATCTACACTCTGATCAAGGCGCTGCTTTCGAGAGTCTTCTTATCTCTCACATCTGCAATGCTTTCGGCATTCGAAAGACCCATACTACGCCTTATCATCCACAAGGGAATGGACTGGTGGAACGCACCAACCGAACCATCAAGCATCTTCTTCGTGCCTTTTTGCACAACGCACCGGAGAACACCTGGGACGATGTCCTGCCTCAATGCTTGCTTGCATACCGCTCCTCCGTGCATTCGTCGACCGGATTTTCCCCGGCTCTACTCTTGTTTGGGCATGAACTTCGCCTTCCTGTTGAGATCCGGACACCGTTGCTACCATACGAGAAGATCGACTGTATTCCCTACGTCCGCAACCTTCGTCACCACCTCGACACAGCCTACAACCTAACACGTCGACATCTGCAGTCTTCTTCGCAGCATCAGAAAAGCAACTATGATCGGTTTGCCCACGGACCAACCTATTCCCCGGGTGACTACGTCTGGCTTCATCGGCCGTCAGTCCCTGCCGGTTCGTGCCCCAAGTTCTACGCCCCCTGGAAAGGCCCATATGAAATCGTACAACACCGACCTCCAACTACATATGTCCTGCGGAACTTGCGACGCCCCCAGGAAAATCTCATCTCAGCACATTACAACCAGCTGAAACCACACTGTCCACCAGCTGTCAAAGAACCGTCGACATCTTCGCAACCGCCACCAGCTACGACCTACTTCGAGGTGCCCACTGATGGAGGTAGTGCATACCCTATACCGCCGCCAGGCACTGAGGACAGTGCCTCCAGAGGGGAGGGAGCGATGTAATGATATAAAAACTAACATGACATCACTAAATGAGTCTCCTGTTTCCTCTTTTTCAGATAAGAACGCTGGCCTGGCCGTGCTGGAACAGGTGGAGGACCGTTTGTCTAACCTTGTTATAAATGACAATGATTAGCTTGTACCCGGGCAATTCGAGCCCTGCGTGCTGGAAATATAGACCTTCCTCTCGCATCTTCCTCTTCTTCCTTCGCTGATTGTGTCTGTTGCTTCTGGGTGTTACAGCTCGAGAAGTGTATAAACGGTCCCAAGGTTATGAGTATGTTACTGCTTTTACGGGTAACACTTCTCTCTCCGTTAGTTTTGCGTTGAAAATTACCGCTCCTTTTGGCATTCTGCGTGTTTTAACTTGATTAGGTCAATTTCTGTCACTTTGTTAAGTGCAGTTGACACTACATATCATCGTCAAATGGTTGTTGGAGCTATATTAATTGTTGTGAGATGTGAATGGTGATTTTAAATCGTCGATTTATGATTAGGGCCAGAATAAGAGGTCAATAAAACACAGCGATCGACCGCTCTGTTTTTTTGTGTGATCACACTAAGCAGTCTGAATATTTAAGCAATTTACCAACAAAATCCGGGTTTTTTACAGTTATTCGTTGTGGTTGTTTGTTAAAGGCTGTTTACCACAGTTAATCTTGACTATACTTATCAGATTGATATCCAAATTCACCATGACGTCCTCAACAACTTATCAGACTTTTAAGCTTGTGATTCCTTACAAATTGGTTGCAAATAACTTTAGCAACCGTTGGTGTTGATCAACTTATCTCCAGGCGTGTAAAAATGGGAAAGACTGAAATATATTAAAGCAATTCCTTACCAAAAAGTTGCCATCGTTTCTCAATTCCAACTTGGGTTTCTTAAGGTTCATTGCTCAGCTGTGCTTATGACGCTACCTAGCTAGCAAAACCACTGGGTATAATTAAGAGACACCAGGATAAAGAATATTGGGGTGCACATCAGGGCCCATATAACCAAGACTCCCAGCTGTATACTAACACCATGTAATCTACGCATCACATTCTTTTCTTAACACGTCGACCACACGATACTAAAAGCAGGTGAGATTTTAAAATGCGTGTTAAAAACACAACTTCTACATTCATTTGCATTTCCCGTGGCTTTACTTAACAACGAACTCTCGGTTTCAAAAAGCGGTCCATGTTTCATATGTCCGCATATTTCAGGGTTTCATTCGATCCATGTATCTCATCTCTGTAATGAACTGATGTTCATAGTCTCTTTATTTTGCTACCTGAATCGTTTCGTCTAACAATCATTTGATAAAAGAATACTGAAATGACATAACTTTAGGTAACTTAGGAAGCCTCAATGGCTGTAAGTGAATAAGTATGCTGCAAATGAAAGTTATTTAGGTGTAAAATACCTAGGTGTCCTACATAAGGATTATAAATCAGAGGTAGATTTACATTAAGTGAGTATGAAATGGTGGTAGATATTATCAAACTGCTGCATATTGGTATGGACTTGTTTAGATGCAAATCAATAAGCATTACAGTCAGCATAAAAGAAATCACCGAAAAAACATCTGCTAAATGTTTTGCCTTCTTCCTAATAGGTAGAAAAAGTTTCATTTGGGGATCTACCGGTCTAAGCCACTAGGCCTATGGTCATTGAAAGGCTGAGTAGAACTCTGGAGCATTTAACTAAGTAGGTTTTAGTCCTTAACGAGAGTTAACCATATCCTCACTCCTCAGCATGCTTAACAGAATCCAACACTTGCCACATTTTTGGAGTCAAAAGCGGCACACAACTTCATCGGTCAAGGAGTATCGCGTCAATATTTGGCTGTAAAAGTGTCAAGGAAATAAATTATTTTAAGCGAGAGACCAGCTTATGTCATCCCTGGCGTAGACGTGATATCCGGCTATCAACCACAAGACATTTGTGTTGCGTAGTTCCTTCTGTCCTCCTTTATGCTTCTTAGATGTGGTCATTAAAAGTGTAAGATATGAAAAGGTTAGCTATCTCTTACCACAGCTGTGTGCGTTCTGTGGTATAATATATATATATTCCTTCACGTTCCCAGTAGAACACAGGACTTCAAGCTAGTGGCTTGAAGTTTCTGTAGCAGTGTTTATTTTTACAGGATAGGGTTGCTAGCCTCATGCCCAACCTTTCCTCTTCAGCATTATTTCTGGCTTATCGAGGTAAAGGAGTGCGTCGGCCGGGATCGAACCCCGGACCGTGTGCGTGGTCGGCGAACGTCCTAACCACTGTGCCTTCGACGCTGTGGTATAATATGCTGAATAAAATGAGGTTAGGCGCTTAGTGTTAGGTAAGGAGGGTTGGTCAATCGATGGTGTTGTGAAGGTGAATCGATTGAGATGACTAGGACGTATTACGCATGCCAAGCTGCCGTCTTTCTGATAGAGCAATGCTAGCCGATATATATATATATATAACCAAAACCTAGCATCAGTCCATGAGGCCTCTGACTGACCGACTGGTTTCAACATAGAACTGCACGATGTGTAGCAGTTCGAGTCGCCACACTCCATGTAGCACACAAAGCTTGAGAAGAAAGTAAAAAGAAATGCAAAACAGAGACAGTAAAGAGAGATATAAGGCAAAAAGAATGGTTTTATCGAAGAATAATATAGCTTTATTTGGTATTAGTCACAAGGCTGGATGCATCTACACCAGCCATTGAGAACGATTTTGAGCCACATCACTGACCATCTCTAGCTCTCACTGGTTTTATCATCCCCACGACCCCAGCTACCAAGTTTGCATCTCCCTATGTAGCTTCAACTAACTGTTATGGATTTCATTGACTGATGAAGCCATGTTTTCGTTTGACCACCACTAGCTTTTTTCCAACCCCATCCTGTCAGCTTACATCGCCCATCGAAAAAGGCAATGGTTAGGCATGCGTAACACATGTCCTAACCATCTCAATCGGTGTAACTTCACAACCTCATCGATTGATTTCTCCTCCTTACTTAGCATTCGACTAAAACATAACTTCAATATTCTTCACCCTATTATACCACTTAACACGGGAGATAGAGTGAAGGCACCTATGAACAAAGACAGCTAGTCGACCTTTTCATATATTCCATTTTCAATGGTCACGTGTCATAGCCAATTACCCAACAAATATGCAGTGTGATAATGGAGATAGAGATCGTGGAGTGACACCTCACACGTGACCGTCCAGTGAAACCCTAATAGTAAGTGAGCAACGATTTCGATGTCTAACGGTAACATGGTGATAATCAAGTGAAGTGGAAATAAAAGCTTGCGGGTAATCGTAGAGACAGCTGAAAAAAGACAAACAACAAAGTACAGTGGAGGTAGGTATGCTGCGAAATCCCTATGTTCCATTTGCAACTTAAGAGACAATAACGTGAAAATACCTTATGCCGATACTTTGTTTTGTTAAGACTTTTTTCAATCCTCGATTACACTAGTAGAAATTACATTATCCTGTAATATTAGAAATCAGTTATTTTTATTATACCTTATTTAAATTTGTTAACGAGGAGTAGTAATCAGTTTTATGGTAGCTTTGTTTTTACTTTTAATCGTGTGTTTTAATTTATAGTGATTGATTTTGTTTTTGTATTATCTAAATCCATCTAATGTATAATTTTTATTTCTTTAGTTTTAGGTTCTAAAGTGGTTATGTTCTTTTTTGAAGCCTAATGATTTAAATCAGTACTCTAGTGTCTAAAAGATTATAATTTCTTTATAGTCACTTGTTGAAAATATTCTCATCTCTCCTAAATTAATCAATGAATTAATTAATCAATTTGTAAAGATAATGCCTAGATTTGCTCAGTTAGTAATTGGACCAGCTGGTTGTGGTAAATCCACTTATTGTAATACAATGCAAACACATTGTGAAACATTAAAACGAAGAGTTGATGTTATCAACTTAGATCCTGCAGCTGAATATTTTGAATATACACCACTAGCAGATATCAGAGATCTTATTCATGTAAGTAAAAGCCTTTTCTAAAAATCTATAATCTAAAATATTATATATAGTTAGATGATGTAATGGAAGATGAAGCAATACACTTAGGTCCAAATGGTGGACTTGTCTTCTGTTTAGAATATCTTCAACAAAATTTAGATTGGTTGGATACAGCTATCGGTGATATTGACGGTGATTATTTATTATTTGATTGTCCTGGACAAATTGAATTATACTCACACCTGCCAATTATGCCAAGAATCATTGAATATATGCAAAGAAAATGGGATTTTCGTTTTGTAACCATATTTATTCTAGATGCTAGATTTCTTGTTGATTCATCACATTTTCTAGCTGGTGTCCTCTCGGCTCTGTCTGCAATGGTATCATTATCTACAGCACATATTAATGTCATGTCAAAAATGGATTTATTATCAGAACAAAAACAAAAATATGTTATGGCAAGATATTTAAATCCTGATATGGATTATTTTTATGATTTAAATCAAGTATTCGATGCAGACAATGATAATGATGGTGATGGTGATAATGATAAAAAGAAGAATGGTATTGATAAAGACAATGAAGATAAATTACCCTTCAATAAATTATCCTATGCATTAGCTGATTTAATTGAACGTTATAGTGTAGTGCATTTTTTCCCATTGAATAGAGATAAAGAAGATACAATAACTGATTTATTAGTACAAATTGATCATTGTTTACAATATGATGAAGAAGTTGATCCATCGAATCGTGCTTTTGATGATGCTGAACAAGAATTAATTGGATTTCAAGGTGATGGTGACGGGGGATGGATTCACGGGACTCTGGATAAAAACAACAACAACACATCTTTAATGCTGATATGCTTGTATATAAATGTAATCAATATATGTATATCTATGAAAAAATACCCTTATTTCTTGTTCTGTTTTTTCTTTTTGTCTAACTGGTACAATAATGTCCTTTTTCTTGTTCAGCGAAGAAAATTTTCTTTGTCGACGAAATTATCTTCCTTCAGAGGCTATACAGTCGTATTTATACTTACCAAAAATATATAGTGGTCTATTTTTAATTGAGTAATAGGGGGGGTGACATAATTGATATAATTACTCAGAAGTGGCTTTAGAAGTAAGAAATTAAAAGTCGTAAATTACGTGGTACTCAACGATGGCACAAAGATAGAAGTTTGATAAGGTAAGAATTGCTCTGGAGTGAGAATAAAGGTGGTATTTGAGTGTCAATTTAACAAGTGTGAAGAGGGTGTGAAATGTACAGAAGGAGCATATGAGAGTGATGATAGTGAATTGATTGTTAAAGCTAAAGTAAACTAAAAGTAATATTAAAAATTAAAAACAAAAGAAAAGTGAAGAGGTTAAGACCAAGGTAGAATAAGAGACTAGACAAGCGTTTTCTGTAAAAAGAGTTCAGGGTTGTATTGATGAATTATCAGCGCCTCCGCCATACACAAAAGCCAGAGTTGTCTTTCGAGATCATCTACAAAGTGAAGCCAAATGGTACAAAGGGCGTCAGGTTTCGGCTTTTGTATATGGCGGAAGCGCTGGCAATTCGTCAACACAACCCTGAACTCTTTTTACAGAAAACGCTTGTCTAGTCTCTTATTCTACCTTGGTCTTAACCTCTTCACTTTTCTTTTGTTTTTAATTTTTAATATTACTTTTAGTTTACTTTAGCTTTAACAATCAATTCACTATCATCACTCTCATATGCTCCTTCTGTACATTTCACACCCTCTTCACACTTGTTAAATTGACACTCAAATACCACCTTTATTCTCACTCCAGAGCAATTCTTACCTTATCAAACTTCTATCTTTGTGCCATCGTTGAGTACCACGTAATTTACGACTTTTAATTTCTTACTTCTAAAGCCACTTCTGAGTAATTATATCAATTATGTCACCCCCCCTATTACTCAATTAAAAATAGACCACTATACATTTTTGGTAAGTATAAATACGACTGTACAGCCTCTGAAGGAAGATAATTTCGTCGATAAAGAAAATTTTCTTCACTGAATCTGTCTTTTACTTTCTTCACGACTCAACGGGTATTTTCGGTGACTTTTTCTTATTATTTATGCTTATGAGGCATAATTTTCCTTTTCTTTGTAGATTATTTCAATAAACTATGAAGCTCTCCTAATACCAACTGGTTGTATAATCCTCTGGTTACTTGAAATGTACGAGCATGCGTGTTGTGTTTTATTAATCTAATCTCATTTAGATTTTGCCAGTATGTTAACTCTCCGTCTCACTTGCATTTATTTCTGGAAACTATTACTCATGGATTAACGGGTTGTCTATTTTGGTTGTGTTGTTTAAAAGCTATACATAATAGACTATTAGACGTTACAGTGAACTGTCAAAGGATTATAATGATTACTGAATCATGTTTTTTGGCTGGTGTTATTGCTGTTCTCCCGGATATTGATCATTTTATAGCTGCAAGAAGTACAAGTATTGAAGTATGTAACTTGTTAGGTCTTTTTCGTTTTTATTACGCGTTATGTTTATATTTTTTCAATGAATGAAGCGATCAGGCTTAGCCGTACATATATATATATATATATATATATATATATATATATATATATATATATATATATAGAATTAAAGAAGAATAGGTAGAATACAAGAATTCTAAAAAACAGTAACATTAGGGACTGATGGATACCAGACCGTTTTAGCTTCATTACGTAGGACGTTGAATGAAATATCTTTCTAGAAACTTATCTATTTATTATTTTATTTAAACGCATAAAAACTTGGTACAATATGACATCAAGAAGGATGTGCCACACAATAATAATAAAACAACATAGATCAAAAGAAAAAAAGAAAGAAGAGAAATATATATATATATAAGTAGAGAACGGATAAAGAACTTCATCTGGAAGGAAAACAGTCATGCTTAACAAGTTCAAACAGTATTCGTTAACTATCACCGGGAAGGGAAGAAAGAAGGAAACTGCAACACGTGTAATAGCACGCGATAAGTTTCATTGATTGCTTGTTGCTTTATTCAATTCATTGTGTGAGGGCTGAGATACTTCCCGGGCGCCCAGACCGAAGCAGGTGGTTTTATTAAGGGGCCATCCCCCGAAGCCTTTGACTTGGAGTCTAATCCGCGAGGCAGCGGAGCAGCGCCAGGAGCTACATTCCCATGGTTTCCGGTGACCCACATACGCCATTTGATCCGATTGGATACTGGAGTCCATGTACCACATGCTTTTAGTTTAACCGCTATCCAAACAACCTTCCTGACATGGTAGGACGTGCAGGGACAGAGTCCCAGTCAGTTTAGCATGTTGGGACATTACGGTATTCAAGCCCGACCACCACGACAAGGTAGCAGTTGTCGGCCGGGTTTCTAGAAACTAACATGATGTGGGAAGTCCATGGGAGATTGGAGTATCATTAACCGTCTCTCTCTCTCTCTCTCTCACACACACAATATGACTTACTACCTGCTGTATATAAATGCAAACAGTTACTGATTAAAAAAACCCTCTGTCGTATTCTCATTATTATTATTATAATTATCGTTGTAATTGAATACCACTAACAATGTGTATTTTGTTCTGTTTGTATATCTCATCTGTATTACAGCTTGCTCGTCAACTTCCTGGTAGACCATTTTTACACTGGGCTGGTATACATTTGATTATTTATACAATCCTTATCATCGTTTCATTTTGTCTACCATATGTAAATTGTTTACCGGGACAGAAATATTTCTCTATTTTGTGGTTAGTTTTTATCTCCTATCTTAGTCATATTGTTCGTGATGCAAATCGACGTGGATTATGGTTATGGCCACCACCAGATTATCGTACAGGCATGATGAGTAGTAGTACATCAAATTCTTCAGAGTATAGTATACACTTTCCTAATGATTTGAGTATTCTAACACCGCTTAGAATACCTTTATTTTATGCACTGATTTTATGCTTTATTATTCCAGTATTTCGATATTATGCCTTTTACTTACAATGGAATTTATCCAGTTTTGTTTTAATCACGTCTTATTATCATTGTCGTGTCAGTGACACTGACCATCCTAATAATCTAGGATTTATATACAGTTTATAAAATCAATTGCTTTAGAAATATTCCTAATTTATTTGGCCAGTTATACCATGTGATATTTTCTACAAATATTCTCTGTTCAGATTATTATTATTATTATTGTTTTTATTATGATTTTTATTATAATACACAAGACTATTGTTGAATACTCTTTGTTTTGATATTTCTTGTCTATGCTTGTTGATGTATATATCACTTTGTGTTCTTTATCTTGAATTGGTGAGTTACTTTACATAGGCGTGGGTGGGGGGTTACGAGGTGTAGTGGCCTCTCTTTTTTGACATACCACTATAGTCAATAAGAAATATATGAGGAAGAAGATCGATATTAACTTGGGAGTTGTAAACAGTTATTGGTTTATAAGTTTAATCACAGGTCGGCTTCAATTAAAGAACCACTGAAAACCAGCAGGGAGTATTTGGTAGCTGTTTCATTCTAGTTTGGGACCCTTCATCATTAGTACAAAACAATGACCCCACCCAAAGACCTGAAGACCATTCCGTCAGTGGGATTCAATCCAGTTGTCCACGAATCAATCGAAGAGGTTGTGAAGTTACACCGATTGAGATGGTTAGGGTATGTGTATTACGCATGCATGACTACTAGCCATCGCCTTCCTTGGCAGACAGGCAATGTTAGCTGACTGACATAAGATTGATCAGGTTGGAAAAGAATTAGCTAGTGGTGGTGGTCAAACGAAAACACGGCTTCATCAGTCAATGAAATCCACAACAGTTAATTTAAGTCAGCCAGCCACTTTGGTAGGCAGGTGTAGACTGCTGACTGGTTGGGGTCCTCGGGGGGGGGGAGGGCGAAAATTCTATCGTTTTCCCCTATATTACTATTCTTTTTGACTCATACTTCTTCTTATTATCTCTCTCTGTCTCTACTCACTTCTCTTGCTTTGTGTGTTACATGGAGGGAGTGTGATAACTCGACCTGCTGCACATCCGTGTAAAGTTCTACGTTGAAATCAGTCAGGGGATAGTCTTATGGACTTGGAATATTTTTTAAAATTTTTTTATTTTCCGATTACAGCTTGATTGTACACTGTATTTTGGTATAAGTATGGAATTTTCAGTATGCATATCGGTAGCCCAAATTTTGCAGGCCGACCATTGATATCAGGTGTGCGTCGGTTGGGGATTGAACCTCGGACCATGTGCATGGTCGGCGAGAGTTCTAACCACTGTGCCACCGACGCACAGATGACATAGTCCTGTTAGGGGAGGATGCTGACAAAATGCAGTCTTCTGAACACCTTGAGCAGCAATCTTCGTATGTTTGGCATGCAATTCGCGCCTGTAAAATGTGAGATGCTGCTGCAGGACTGGACTACGTCAACTCCTATCTTAGTGATAGTGAGTGAAGTGATAGAAGATGTTGACCACTTCACCTATTTGGGAAGTTGTATCAGCACCAACGGACTGATTGGCGACGAAATCTCAGCACCGATCCAAAAAGCTCGAGCTGCTTTCGCTGACTTACACCATCTCTCCATTATGGGTAAATTTTTGTTTTGATAAAGTCTCACAGTGTTATACAGTAATGTTTACTGATGACGTTTCGAGCACAATTTATTGCTCATAATCATATCAAGGTCATACCTTGATAGAATTATACTCTACCACAGTGCACAAGTTTTATTCTTATATCAATTACACCATCTCTGGCGTAGGCGTGACATCCGGCTATCAACCAACCAAGGGACGTGTGTACTGCTCAGAAGTTCGCTCCGTCCTTCTCTATGTCTCTAAAGCATGGTCAATACGAGTTGAAGACATGAAGAGGTTGACTGCTTTCGATCATAGATGTCTGCGATCTCTTTCTCACGTTGGGTGGTTTAAAAAGGTAAATAATGTTGACGTTAGGCGTAGAGTGTTGGGCAAAGAGGGAAAATCAATCGACGAGGCTATAAAGTTACATAGATTGAGATGGCTAGGTTACGTTCTGCGCATGCCTAACCATCGCCTCTCCCGACGGGCCTTACTAGCTGATACAGGTGCAGGTTGGAAAAGAGTAAGTGGTGGCCAAACAAAAACATGACCTCATCAATCCATGAAATTCTTGACAGTTAAACTGAGTCAGATAGGGAGATGCAGACTTCCGGGTTGGGGCCTTCAGGACTCTGGGAATCAATGGCTGGAGACAATAGGTGACATGGCTCAAAATCGTTGTCAATGGCCAGCGCAGATGTATTCAGTCTCTGTAATCTTTCATATTCCTTTCTACCATTACCCTGTGTAAGCGCAATACCGCTTGAAATCAAGTCACGCGTAGATAAAGACTATCCCGGTCCAGAACAAACAAGAAGCCGGTCACTGTTTCTACGGTACTATTAATTAACAAATCAATAATTATATGTACAACAAACCTTAACGGTTTCAAGAGTACAAAGCACAACGCTTAACAGAAAGCAAGGTACCGCTATCAGAGCGGAATAACGTTAAAGCCAAAATTGCGAACTAGCCGGAACCAGACACGACCGTTCAGGTAAGCAGTCAGTAGAAGAATGAACCTAAGTAAGGCATGGCATAAAACAGAGAGCAGTTAAAGAGAGATAGACAAAGCATAGGCACAAAGATAGAATTTAATTGGCTACTTAACCAGGTAGGAAGATTACAGGTGAAGATCAATAAATAAGATAAACTTGACAGAATAGTACAAAGTAAAAACAGTTCACAAAATACTCTGATTGGGTCATGACTTCGAATGTCTGACTAAACAGATCGAGGTAAAAACACATATACACAGTTCATTAAACAAGAGGGGATAGACACGTTAGGCATGGATAATTGGGTTGCAACAACGCTAGGCTGATCCGGGACAGGTTGACTTGATTCAAGGATGGGAATTGAATTGATCTTACACCCAATCTGTTCCACTCTTATACTTGTCAAACTCTATTAATTCTCTCCACTCACCTTCTTGTCTACCTTTGTGTGCTATTTGGAACGTGGCTACTCGAACTGGTGCACTTCGGTGCCAAGTTCTATGTTGAATCCAGACAGGCAGTCAATCAGTCAGTTCATCAATTTTAACTTTCGTCAATGATTGTTTAGTTTCACGGTGGATAGTACCTTGATGAACACTGCCTTTTGACAAAAATGAATAAGCTGCATAATTATCTAAAATTGACTTCTATTTCCTCTTTTTGTCAATCAAATAATATCATGTTTACCTCTAGGCATTATTTTAGTGTCTGTACTCTAGAAGTCACAACATATAAACACAGACGGAACGTTTCTATGCAATGTACAAATGAATCAGCGGGAAATACAAATAAACATTGCAAACAAATGACTTCTGATACTGTTATGTACTCGTCGCTAAATTATTGTTATGGACTGGTCGAGAAACTAATAGTCCTGACGCGAGAAGGCGGAAATCAGAAGACCACTAGGTTTGCGATGATACTTCTATTGTCCAAACACAAGGAGACGAAAATAATGGTCTCACACCAAAGTGGTAAGTAAGTAAAGCAGTTGTAAAATAAAGTAGTTCACACAAATTGTGAATGCGAATATATATAAATAATTCAGACAAGCGTGGGAAAAATCATTAGACAGTCTTAACATGAATGGCTAATTATAATGGAGTGTCGATCCAATTATACATAGCGAATATAGTAGACATGCCAACAAACATATATGGATATATGTCACTAAGCAACGGACTGTCAACAACACTCATATTATGTATAATATAAATGGAATATACATTGTTAAAGGAGACAGGTTCATACAAGTGAAGTGGTCACAGACTAACCGAGCAAACAGAAAGAGAGACCAACATACTTACACACATAAATATATATGTGGATACATATCAGATACCCGTTGGATAAGAGTTGACTCTACTCGTCCAATGACCTGGTGGATAGTGTGTTTTGCCGTTTGAAACGGTGGGTGATTGGTTCGAGTTTCAGTGGGAAAACCATCACTAACTGCAGGGGTGGGGGGGCGGGCGATGCAGTTAAGTGAAACAAAAGGTGTAATGTGGTGGCACAGTACAGTAAACAACATGACTAAACATTAGTGTATCTCTTGTCAAGGGTTTGTGCTGTTTGTTTACAGCTGTCAGTGTAAATCTGCACAGAAGCTTCGTGAGGAATGTGTAGCTGAAACGCCTTGATGCAATTCAAGTGTAGACAGATACAGAGAATAGTGACTGGGACAGACAGCAAAATCACCTCGAAGAGATCCCAATTTAAAAAAGGTGATTAGTCAAGTAGAACATTGTAATAAATTTAAACAGAATAATAATTTTTTGGTATTAGATGGTTGGAGGCAATCGGCAGGAAGCCTTCGACCTAGATTTCGTGCCATTTGACACTCACTAGTCAACAAGACGTATCTGCAACCACCTTGAAGGAATTCATTTCCCTTTTGAGATTCGAAGCCGCGTCACCCAGTGCTGCAATCAGAGACATTGCCACTGAGCTATTCGGGTTCGCGATTGACCTTCTATAGGACTGTGTTAGATACTTCTGATTGGACACTGTCAATCACGAGCCTGATTAACTCGGTAGTAATGCCTCTGACTGCAGCACTGGGTGACATCGGTTCGAATCTCAGAAGGGAAATGAGTTCCTTCAAGTTGGTTGCAGATACGCCTTGCTGACTGATGAGTGCTAACTAGCACGAAACATGGGCCAGGCAAGGCTTCCAGCTGACTGCCTCCAACTATCTAATATCAACAGTTCAAACTGCACCGTGATGGCGCGAGCCATCTGGGATGGTGGCCACATTGCAGTCTTAACTGATAGAATTCAGTTCGCAGTGAACAAAGGACTAGACACATTACACTGGTTACTAACTAGTTAGTGTCC